ATGGGAGACGACATAGCTTCTGCAAGCTGGTGTTGGAGTTTAGGGCTTGTGCAAGTTCCAACCCCAGTTGACCTTCCCAGCATGCTTTGTGGTCTTACAGGTCCGGTTTTGGAATTGAGGGTATGGGTCAAGAGTTCTTTTAGAGTTCAAGGCTTGGTTTTTGCTTCAAACATGCTGCCGCGAAAGCTTGCGATGGTGTGCTCGAAAGGAACTTTGGATTTCCGCGAAGAGGTCATTTTGTTATGAAGGTAATTTTGGGCAACGCCCATATACCCCCCTACCCGCAAACCGTAACTACTTTTTCCTGAGTAAGTTTGACTTTGGGATAGCGGGCTTGATTTTCAGTAGGTGGGTTTGCCGGGTTGTTGATTGTAGGCTTCCTCAGTTGCTTTCGGTCAGACAGTCAGACATTGCCGGATTCGAACCTTGCTATGCCGTCCGTGTTCATGTTCTTTTCCATTCCTCTATCTATCCCTATATGATGCCCTAAACCCTACCCTAGTTTCGGGAAACAGTCAGGTGCGAGGTGGCTTCCAGAGTACGGTGACGTTGCGCTGCTTGGATGGGGACTGGGCCGATGCAGCATTCGTTGGACAAGTCTGTTCAGACAAGGCGTCGGGATATGTAGGGGCTATATGGGGATAATGGAACACAAATTGACAACCACTGTCGATTATCAGCGTGTAGATATTGGGATGAATTATGAGGGATGTTCTGGGGTTTATATATATATATATATACAAAGTATGTGTATATACACACGAATCAAACTGAGAAGAATGTAAAAATGAAATGGACATTGGGACTATGGAGGGATATCGCTCACTTTGGACATTTGTACTGTACGCACCTGTGTAAAAGCTACTGTAGGCTTTCCCCGCCATGTATCGGGTTCCACCAGAGTTCCACATTTGCACCGGCTCTTTCTGTCGGCTCGGAAGGTTGATAGCAGAAGCCAGCTTGGGATAAAGACAAGCGCCAGAAAAGCTTGAGTCCTCAGAGACAAGCTGCTAAGCGTCATGCGGGGCTGGACAGCGAGTTCGTTGAGATGCTTTGCAAATTAGCCACTGGCTGCACCCCTGCTGCCATGGGTTGTGCATTAGCTCAACACCAGCATGAAATGACTAACACGCCTGCACGTGCGCAGGCGAAGGCAGAAAACTCCGCGGCTTCGGTTGTTCTGACCGAGCTTTGTGCTGACGAGCAACTCATGGCAAGGCCGGGGAAGCTAGTTCTGTGGTTGCAGGTCGCACAGACTTAAAGCACTCCCCAGGACTCTGCTACCTTTTGCATGCCTCTTAACCTGGTGGTTCTCTGGGGACGGCTTGGTAGGGTTCGGCTTGGTAGCTGGCTTCTGCCGAAGTGAATCACGACTGGCCTGGCTCCGGTTAACATGATCAGCTTTTGCAGCGCCAGGGCAAATGCCAAGCGAGTGCCCTGGCCGCACATGCGAGAGAGGGAGACAGTATCAAGGGCAGGTGTTGGTGAGCAAACACATCTCCATGAAGGACAAGCCAAAATCTGGTGGCAGAGGGTCTGGTGGCAGAGGTTCTGGTGGTAGGGGAAGAGGCCAGGATGCATATGTGCATGGCGATAGGAACGTCGGCAACAATTGCATGGGAAGCGGATCGCTGGACATGATTCTGCTGCCAGGGCAATGGCGAGGTTCTATTATCCTTCCAAGACCTATCCAGATCCAGGCAGGCAGAAGGGTGGTAGAGATTGTATAACTCAGAGCCGAATCATACGTCCAAGGTGCCGCGCCCAATCGAAATCTCCAGTCAGCCCAGCTGAGCTTATCATGCCCGCCGGACCTCTTTAAGGTTTCATTGTTTGTAATCATCCATGCGGGGCCGTGCGAAATCTGGATGAAGCTAGGAAAATACGCCATGTAATCGACAGGGCTCCTTGAGGTTTACACGACCCAGCGTGCGGTACTTAGCCAGTCGGTGCTGGAGATGCAACCAGCGTATGCAAGATGCAAAACAGGCCGCGCAGGAGTGTACGATGCTATCGCGGCATGGTTTGTCAGCCCTGTGCAGCTTTCCATCATTGCCCATTAGACTTGCTTATGCATGGCGTTGGCTTCCGCAGAGCAGCTCCTGTCTGAGTTTGGAGACGCTTCCCATCTCCGCAGGCATGCATTGCAGGTTCCCAGTTTTTTTTCGTTGCACTGCATAGAGCGCCTTGCTCAACTCTTCAAGGACCGGCTTTGGGTTGACATAAATACAGACGACCGGCTATCGCATGATTAACGCTGTGGGCAGAGTCCTACTGCAATCGAGCTGTCCTGATGCTGGATCAGTTTTGATGTCATTGCCATCCCACCGCGAGGAAGAGTGTTGAGACAGTGTACAGTTTCAGCTGGGCTCTTGTGTAGGCCTCAGTAAGGTATGAACAAATTCTCTTCATGGACTCACGGACACATTGCCACAAGCAAGGCTGGCATATCTGCTGGGCAAGCAGTTGTCCTCTTGGTCCCGGACTGGTGATTCGTTAGCGAGTGAATGCCAAGAGCCCAGCACACGTTCTAAAAGTGGACACTGCCTATAGAACGACACATCTTGAGGTCGTGCACAGTGCATGCTCGGCCAAGGACAGATCCACATCTTAGTGGAACTACGAAAGTGAGTCTTGTGCCGTGGCAGAGTTTAAGGAGTCAGGATTGCGGACATGTTGTGCCACTGATGCTACCATGCTGCTGGGAGATGGCAGCGCAGTTGTCAAGGGCTCTGTTCAACCGGTGCAATAGGAGAGTGCGGCGTGCCGAGATCTCCCTGAACTGGCAAAAAGACGCAGATCAGACATATCTGAGGTTGCGTTTTGGTATGTCGTGCATGGGCCCTGGCTGAGATAAGCCAATTTTGAGACAGATTAAGTAAGTGTTCTGGTAGAACAGTGCCGCAAGTTGCTTTTCAATTTGGTCATCGTCCAGGCACAGATTCAAGCATTCCAAGCAGGCTTCCCGCTGGTTTGCTCCGAGGTCATTCTTCGGCATCGTGCTGAACAAGACCATTCTGTCGCCAGGCAAGGTGCAGAAAACAGGAAGCATTCTTTCTCAGGTCAGCTGGGCCCAACTTGTGAAACATGAAGCCAGCAGTCTTGGAAATCCCGATGTGGGTCGTGGGCGGGTGCAGTCGAACTCCTGAAAACTGAACGCAAAGGTGAGGATGGCCATGTGGGACCCCTTGCGTTGGTATTGGCCGGGACCTTGATGAAATGCCCATGCCTGCAAATGCCAAAAGCACAACAGTATATACGATGCTAAAAACATGCTGCATTCAAGCAGAATATGTTCACTCCACAGCTGAGGTGCAGATGCTGCCACGGCCTATGCATGTGATCCTTCACCAGTTTATTAGGCAAATGCCAAGAGTTTTTTGTAGCTAGCTGGTCTCAGAATGCTTTTAGATGCCTTATGCACCTAGATTCTCCGCCTAGCCTCCATTCAGGCCCATGCAACCACCCTAAACCCTTGACCCCAATGAAGGGTACTGGGAAGGTATTGGAGGATCCTGGTCCATCATGCGCAAGATGAGGTCCACGGTGGTCTTCGGCAAGCTGAGGGACCTCAGCAGCGGGCCGCAAGAGCCAGGCTCCTTGTTGTCGCCGCTTGCAGCTTGCTCCTCTCAACGCTGCACATAGCTATTCATTCCCACATGCACATATTTATACATATATATATATATACACATATTTTCACATATGCACACATAGATATATATGCTGGTTACATGGGGTGGGGGGTTTTTATTGGAGATGCTACAAGCAATCAACAAGCAATATTGTACACAAAGGACAGGTCCGGCATGCATACCCTTTCCGGAATCTGGTTGAAACTCCTGCGCACAGATGCAATCCCGACATTGGACAGGGTTTCCTAGCTTGATAAGGTCCTCCACATCTATGGATGACCCAGTTTGGGCCAAGAGCTTAGCAACGATGTACTGCTTGAGGTCTCTAAGCTCCTAGAGTCCTAAAGTTGAGAAAGAGAAGCTGCGAGCAGATCATTCCTTCAATGCTTGGGTCCTAACATGTCTAGCCCAGGTGAAGATCAGAAAGGACTTGCTGGTGTTGGGCTGCTTTCGGCACGACCCGCAGACTTCTTCATCTTTCATCAAGCAAGCTTCGCAGTTTAGGAGTAGGTGCGCTTGCCGTCACTCTGTGCCACCAGATCAAACAAAGTCGAGCATGTGGTGCTTCAGAAGAGCGCACTCGTGAGTTGGCACAATCTTTAAGAGCAATACTGCAGCATGCTTGCAAAGCATTCTGCAAAATGCAGTCCAAGGGCATAGGCTGCAGCTCTCATAGAGTCTTGAGTGGTCCACGCAGTTTTCAACCAGACTGAATGTGGTCAGTCACAGTCTGCAAATTTCCGTTGAACATGTACTGAAGCCACCACACGTTGCACGGCCCAAGCCCAGCTACCAAGCTGTATAAAGAAACAAAGCTTGTGCTTGTATGAAGTCAGCAATCTTCTACCCTTCAAAAGCTTTTGCAGAAAAAACATGAAATTGAGCATTGCTAACTGCTGCTTGAAAAAAAATGCGATGGCAAGAGGGTGACAACTCTTCTGTGAAACTGCTATGGGGATTTCTTGGCAGTGCTACGGTGTCTCCCCCCTTCACACTCTTCAGCGCAACAGGGGTTCAAGAATGGAATAAGGTAACTCAACCAAAAGTAGCGTCGCACCTAGAATGTGCGCGTGCTAGCTTGCAGTATTTCGCACCTCTAATAGTAGTTTGGGTTTTCCGTTATACCTATATAACCCTATATATCTAACTAATCAAGCACAATGCAAGGCTTGGAGCTTGGGCAGAAACGCCCCAAATTGCTAATACTTATTGGGTCCCCACACCGGTTTGCAGATGCTTAGATGCAGCGATTTTTGTGCAAAGTGCGGAGTTCGCGCAAGGCGTATTCAGATTTGTGCAAGAAACCGGTGGCTTCACACATGAAGCTGCAGATTTTTGTCCAGGCTCGTAGATTGTTAGCAAAAATCTTTACATTTTGGTAAGAAGGTCTGTAGGTTCTCAAGCCAATACAAAGGTTGTCTGCTGATCAGTAGACTTGCCGCATGCATCGGCTTTGCAGCCTTACACAGTTCTTACTCAAACAGATTTCTGCATGAAAGCACCAGTGCCACCAATTGTGACTTTCGCCAAAACACACTATGATTTTCAGATAACTTCATGGATTTTGCAAAGAAAAGGGCGATTGGAACGATCCCAGGGTTTTCACGACAAACATATGCTGCACATGTTGGCAGCAAAAGTTTTCCTAAAACTTGTAGAAATCGCAAACATCGAGAAACATTCGCGGCAACTCAAATTTTAGCAACAGTCCCGGGATGTTGGCTGAAGCTTTTGCCCAAGACGTACGTCTTTACAAGCGAAGAATGGTCATTAATCCTCTCCGCCTAATATTAACCCCGCCCACCCCCCCCAATATTGAATACGCCCGATACATTCATAGTTTACCACAACAGGGAGTATTTAATATTAAGGGTGGTGCGAGGAGTTTAGACTATAGCTCACATAAAACGGCCCCTGTCCCCCCTATGTTTATAGGCCAGCCCGTAGTTTTTAGGGGGCGGATGTATCGTATAGGACTGGTCCCGAACATTTGGGGGTGGGGGGGGCATGTAGTAAGATCAGCTTGATATCAAATCAAATAAAATCGAATAGCAATCGACGATGTTTATTCATCATCGCAACAAAACCAAGTAAAATCTAAGCAAACTACATTGACTTCTATTGAAAATTCAAATGAAACCCATTTGAGATCAATTTCAAATCGTAATCAAATCAATTGAGACACTTTGAAATCTAATCAGAAACTAAACACCAAAAAAGTCGATGAAACCTAATTAATCAGTATCATGATAAAATCAAGGCCCGGAAGCATAGCGACAACGGAAACAGAAGAACAGCTTTGGACCCCCAAAGGCCCGATTTCCAGTCAAACGGGATTTGACTAGAAAACAGAACGGGGCTTGACTGGAAAAGATTTTTTTGGATTCCCAGAAGCTCGATTTCCAGTCAAATGAATTGTTTTCCAGATTTTCCAGTCAAATCCCGTTTGACTGCAAATCGGGTCTTTGGGGGGTCCAAAGGAGCTGTTTTCCTGTCAAATCCCGTTTGCCAAAGGAGCTGTTTGCCTGTCAAATCCTTTTTGACGGCAAATTGCGCCTTTGGGGATCCAACAAAGCTGGAAAT